AACACGAGCTCAAGAAATCTAAATCAGTATATATAACTTTTATTGACATCTTGTATCATAACATGATTACATTAGTCATAACTATGAAAAAACTAAATATCTAAACTACAAATACTAACTAAAGCAAAAGTACAAAAATATATACGAGATATACAAAAACCAAAAATAAATAAGGTTACAAGGTGGTGCACATACCCTGCATTCTGACTATAAATTCTTAAATGAATGATAAATGAATTTTCGAATGTGTCTTTGTAATGAGATTGACAAATAAATTTTCACTATTGAGGTCTTTACTTAGAATTTCACAAGCAGTAATATACCCCCAACATTCTAATAAAAGAAATCATGAACACCAAAATTAAAATATTAAAAAAATTGGGTGATTGGTTTAGGTGAGGCTAAATGATGTAGCAGATAAGGAGCCATATCCTATTGTCTCCTAAAGGAGAAACCTCTCACATTGATCCAATCATTACTCTCCCTTGTCTCCTTATGATAAAGATAAACAGTGTAGACATAAAGGTTCCTATATGAGTACCTGTGCAAGATCGTCCATTCTTGATGAGCTTTGATGATTCTTCTTTATTGAGTCGCAGACGAGATAAAGAAACATTATCAAAGCGAGTCAAGAATGGACGATTTTGCACATAGGCATGAGTACAAGAAAGTTTTTCTCACATGACTGTATTATGCCTTACTTTCACATTTTCATGACAAAACTGGGTGAAAAATAGCTTCAGATAAATGGAACTCCATCTTTCAATTGTTATGACGTCATAACAATATTGTAGAAAATACATAGACACGCGTGGCAACAAAGCTCCATTGTTATGACGTCATAGCTTAGTTTTGTTTATAGACCAGTGATGTCACAAGTAAATCTCATCTTGCACGTGTGACTTTTTAGGATGAAAGATGGCAATATCTTGCATGGGGTAAAGATGGATGTATCTTTGTTAGTCATATGAGAATCTGTTCTCTTAACAGTATTATTCTTTCTTGTGTTGATGCTACCATTTTTGTCACACTTCTTGTCACACTTGATGAAAGTGCTATATTGCCGTCATCTTATGCTGATGTGCGTATGGCCAGATGTGTGGATGGATGTGCAGGGGTATGGGCACCACACATCAAATCTTGTAATCAAAATTCTAGGAAAACCACTTCCCTGTTCAACTCGAAATTTGAAGAGATATAAGTGCATATTTGTTCCAAGATCTGATTAGGTTTAGGGTGTGCTGGGTTAATTACTTGGTAGCTCTTGTCATCAAAATTAATGAAAAACCACTTATCCGTTCAACTTAAAATTTTTACAGAAGCTGTATGTCTTGTTTAAAAAATCTACTGGGAAAACTATTTTTGGAAAATTTACTGGTAAAACTGTAGTTTTTTGAAGAATCTACCAGGAAAAAATCTAACGCAAAAACTACCATTTTTTAAATTTTACTGGAAAAAATACTGCATTTTTGAAAAACTACTGTATTTATAAAAATCTTTTTCAAAAAGACTTGAAAATACCTCTTTTTGAAAAACTACCGGATTTAAAGGTGCAACAATTAGTGCAGGAGGGCCATTCATCGATCATTGACCAGTGTCAAAATGTATTTAAGTTTGGATATTTCATCAAGACTAACATATATTTTTATTATCTACAAAGAAACCCCCTGGATGAACATTGTTTCAGCTGATATTCTTCTTGAAGCGTGGTGAATCTTAAAAATCTATAAGTGGGACTCCCTTTATAGAAGCTATGAACTGAATTTACACTTCTTAATGCTGAAATTGATAGTTTATCCATACATTTCAAGAAAATAGGTATGTCAAAGAAGATGTTAAGCCAAATATTGTCCTCATAGCTCAGAAAAAATTTCAAATTTCAAATTTTCTCTCTACAGTCCTTGTTGCTCCTTTAAAAACAAAATCTTTTGCAATTTAGATTTTAAAAAACTTGTCCACAATTATTTTGTTTAGCAGGTCTGGTTTAATACCTCTTTAATTTGGTACACTAGATATGCACTACACCGAACACAATCAAAGGTTTTTAAAATGACGCATTTACTCTACATTCAAAGCTGTTTATGTTTATCATAAATTTTATTGTTTGAAAACTTGTTTTGAATTTTTTATTTAGTTTCTGATTTATGGTCCAAATAGATAATCTTAAAACTGTCCCTTAAATGTGTTTTGAATTTTTATGTTTTAAGCAAAAACATCACGTTTATTCATTTTCTGATTCATGGTCCAAATAAATAACCTAAAATATGTTTTGAATTTTATGTTTTGAATAAAACCATGGGCTTTCAACTAGACTATTAATAAGTTTCTGATTTATGTCAGTGATATAGCTCTTTAAAGTCCCCATATAAAGTTTAAACCACTTTGGCTTATATTGCAGTCTTACCCAATGTTATCAAAGTGTGATATGGGAAACTTTTTTTTTAAATTTCAAAAAGTGGTTTTTGATAGAATTTTTGTTACAAAATTTGTGAATTTACTAACTAAAAAACTAACTTTTTGAGGTCACATATATCTTTTAATTAGCCATAATTCATACCGATGCATAGCATTCATCCTCGCATGTTTTTTGCAGAAGAAAATTAGGAAAATCGGTTCATAAATAAGCGAGAAATGAACTAATCAGTGGATGAAAATGGTTCCGAGAAAAATGCATTTCAAAATTTTTGGTTCTCATAGAAACCAATGGTACAATGATATCTAAAACATAATATATTCTTCCTATTAACCTGGTTAGACAATCATCATTGGTTTATTATTGAAGTCTAGCATATTTAGAAAAGATTGACATCGAAAAAAAATTTTCAATTTTCAAAAAGTTTTTGCTACCTTAGTGACATCACTAATGTTTCAAAATATTTTTGATATGCTAAAACATTGAAGTGGCCCATTAAATATGGCATTTTATTATTGAAATAGTGTGTCCTTTGTTCAATCTTTGTATTGGTAGTTAAAAAGATAATCTTTTTTGAAATGCATTAAGAAATATTTGATGTTTAAAAAATTTGAATATTTGAAAAATGAAATGCTCACAACTTCTTTTTCAAAATTTTTTTTTTCAAAAATCTCAAAAATAGCTTTTTAAGTCATGAGAAATAGTAAATAAATGATAAAAAAAATATTTTCAAACTTTAGATGGGTATTTTAAGCAAATACAACAATACAATGTACACTGAAATTGATGGCGTCAAAGCGGTTTAATACGTTTTAATATAAGTTCGCATTTTAATTCTAAATCAAAATTTAAATTCAATTCTGTTTCAAGTGATCTCAAAAATTCTCAAAATTTTAATCGGGTTGATCACCTAATTTACAGCCATCTGTAATTAGGTCTTTGAATTTAAAAATAATGATAATCTGTGGGCCGGGCTTTCAGGAAATACAAAAAGATCATTGGGAAGCAATGCCTATTGATACGGAACTAGACTATTTCTGATTATAATAGATAAGTCTGAAAAAAGTAATTACAGTACTGATTACTATGCACATCGAACAGTTCATAACGGTTCAGGTAAATAAATGCACAAATCAAAGCTTTTTATAGAAATTTTCACATATAATTCAAATATACCATCAAGTAGAAGAAAATGATAGTCTTTAATGGTTAAAATGCAGATTTCCAAAAATTTCTTTAATGAGACTTTATGAGATTTCAAAGCGAGATGAAAAAAGGACCATCGAAAACAATTTTGAAGCCATTTAATGTTATAACTGAACCTCATATTGTTTTTGCAGATCGTGTCAGTGTTGAGGAACTATGAAAGGACAGCGAGTGACTTGGGACATTGGGGCCAGCCATCAAAGTAAGAGAGTTACTTTTCTTTTTAGTATTTTGTAGTAATGTTATATGATAAAAATCTTATTATCGCACTTTGAAAAAGTGCTATATTGTCGTCGTCTTGTGCTGTTGGGCGGGCGTTTGGGCGTGCGGGTGGGCGGGACATAAACTAAATCTTGTCATCAAATTTCCAGGATAACTGCTTACCTGTTCAACTTGAAATTTTTACAGATGCAAGAGCAGACTAGTACCAAGATCTGATTAGGTTTTGGGTGTGCTGGCTGAATTACATGGTGGCCATTTTGAATTTTTTAATTTGGCGGCCATTTTGAATTTTTCAACTTGCTCCAAATTGACCAAATTTTTTTTTTAAAAACATCTACAACTTCTCAGAAGTTCAAATCTGACCTTAGATTTCAGATTTGACCTTTCATTCACCTTCAGTGACCTTGAAAAGGTCAAAAAAGTTGATTTTCTAAATTGATATTTTGGATTTAAATTTAGGTCAGCTAATTACAAAAGACCTACTGAGGTCTGAAAAAGTGAAATTTTCAAGGTCGAAGGTCATCAAATTAGGTCACAAACAATGTTATCTAAATTTTCCCAAAGTTCAAGACTACAAATAAATTCTTGTCATCAAAATTGCAGGAAAACCGCTAACCTTGTCAACTTGAAATGTTTACAGATGGAAGAGCAGACTAGTGCCAAGGTCTGATTAGGTTTTGGCCATGCTGGGTAAATTGCATGGTGGCCAGTTTGCTCTTCAAAGTGCGATATTTATCACTGTGTGTCTTGTTTTGGCTAATGATCAAAATGGACAAAATAAGAAAAATATTCTATGATTATAAATAGATGTCAGGACTGAGGAGTCCATGAAGAGACAGATAACTATCAATTATGTCAATTGGATTAAAAGAGTATGCATATGGAAAATGAGCAAAACTCAACCAACGAATATGGTGTTGCTGAAGTATCTCCTGGTTTAAAAAACATATTTGATGGTTTAGTGAAAATTTGCCAAAAATAGGATATCTTTCCACTGGTAATAGAAAATACCATACAATGTTTAAAGAATATCAAAGTAACTATGGGAAAACTAATAGTCACACCTCTATTACAATAATTCTGGTGTTTTTCTGGCGTTTTAAGTATATTCAAAAATGATACTCCAAATGCAATGTATATTCTATTTTATATTATTCATATGCTATTTCTATTACATTGTATCTACTTCATATATAATATACTAATATATTGTATAATATTGTATTGTTTATTTTTATTTCTTGTTATTATCAAAATGTTCTCATTATTTATTTTTAGTCCATGATTGTCTATTCTAATTTTTCCTGGTCTTCCTGGTCTAAGCCACCACCACCTCCTCCTCCTGAGAGTCCTGAAATATAAAGAGGTACAATATAATACTATTCAAATAAAATTTCAAATAAGGTCACATAAGAAGAATACAAAAAAAACTCAAAAATTAAATCATAATTTTGAATGTTTTTTTTGTATCATGAGTCTAATATTGCATGTGTTTACAGTTAAGTCAATGTACATGTATTTGCAAGAAGTGGCTTAGAGCCGGAGAAACTGCATACATCCATGAAAAAAGATATCAGAATATTGAAGAACAAACCCTCAAAATCATAGTTTATTGTTTATTTCTTAATTGTATTGTATTGTATCCTTTATTACCACATTACTTTTATGTGAGTACATTACAATTTTCAATATTTTTTTTCCAATCATATTTACATCAACAGGTTGCATTTTTTATACATGAAATAAATTGCCTTGGCCTTTAAAATCATATTAAAAACATTTGTAGATATTGAATATAAGAGTTGTTAAAAACTTTACCTATACATTTCTGGCCAACCAGTTGCCCAAGTATGTTTGAACAACGACACATTTTGTCATTTCCACATGATCCAAAGTAATTCCCTGTGGCTACGTTGGGAAGATTTTGACAATAGTTTGAACATGAAGAGCTTGAACAGTATGAACATCCTACAAAATTATACAAAATTTTGCATATTATAGTTTATAATATTTATTGAGTTTTTTTTTTTCTTTTTCAAATATAGTTTATTCCAATTTAGGTTTTTACGATACAGAAATACAATGATACAATTAATTACAATAATGTATAATGAGTTATGTTTTAATCATTTTCCATTTGTTTTTAAAAAATACATTTTTACGAGTACAGATTTCAAAATTTAAAGTTTTAATAGTGCCTTCAAAATTACGCTTAATACCATTATTCAGTTCTTGAATATATGTTTTATATATAACAAATGAAACAATACTTATAAAATAGTTTAAAAATTCAGTATGATTGTCATTTCCATTGTAACCAATTATCAATTTTCTGTAAGTTACTCTTAACCCTGAGATATTATAAATATGTTTCCAAATGTTTTGAGAATATGAGCATGAAAATAACAAATGTTTCAAGGTACATAATTCATTACATAAACTACATTTGTAGGTTTCACTTTTACCAAATATATATAAATCACTAAGGCTAGGAAGAATATTGTTGATTATTTTAAAGTTGAAATTACCTATTTTCTTTTCTTTACAACTTATTTTTGTAGAGAAAAAGTTTTGCCAATTTATTTCATCATTGGCTTCATAGCAAAACTCTTGTTCCCATTTCCTTTTCATAAACCATTTTTCCGATCGTTTATTTTTTAATATTTCATAAAAGAATTTGGATTTCTGATTATTCACAGTGATAATCACATTATTTATATTAAATTTAAAAGTATTATGAATATTTGTATACTTGACAGATTCTAAATTGAATCTTTCTTTCAGTGTGCCCATGGCTGATAAAACTCTGTAATATTCAGATATCCAATTTTGTTTATTTACAAGTTTTTGATATAACATATTAACATCAAGGAACCTGTTCTGAATTATCAAGTCTTTTATGTATATAATTCCACTTTTGATCCATGATTCAAAGAAAATTGGTTTATTTTTGACAGTGAATAATTTGTTTCCCCATATAACCTCTTGCAAGAGTTCATGTTGCTTCATATCTCTTATATTTTTGATGCATTTACATAAACAATGTGCTTCCAGCACTTGTTGATAAAAAAGTGGAACATTTTCAAATTCTTTGAATCTAGTATCATTTATCTTGAATAATACATCTATATTTGGAAGAAATTTATTGAAATAGAAGTAAGGGATTTTATTGTACATGTTTTGATTATGCAAACGGGGGATCCATGCTGCTTTAAGTGCATGTATTTGAGACTCTAAGTCAATCATATTTATTCCACCCTTATTAATATTATTTATGATTATAGATCTTCTTATTTTGTCCTTTTTTCCATCCCATAGAAATTTAAATACAAGATTGTTTACTTTTTTTATAATCTCATGTGGCACAGATAATACTGATGCTGCATAAATTAATTTTGGAATTGCCAGTGATTTAATCACTGTAACTTTGCCAAAAAGTGTTAAGTATCGGTTCTTCCAGCTGTCTAATATTTTTTCTACCTTTTTTACTCTATCTTCCCAGTTTAATTCATAACATCTTTGTTTGTTGTGTCCTAAAAAGATTCCTAAATATTTGATTGGTTCATCAGTAAAAGTTATATTTTCACATTTCTCTTCAAAGTCCTTATTTTTTCCAAGCCAAATGCCTTCAGTTTTTTCTATGTTTAACTTCAGACCAGAAAATTTTGAGAAATTGGAAATAGTATTAAGAGCATTTTTCAATGACTCTTTATCTTTAATGAAAAGTGAAGTATCGTCCGCATATTGGGACATCTTATACCATCATATCTCTCTTTACCATCAACAGTTATACCTGATATATCATTATTTTGCTGAATTGCTAAGTTCATAACTTCGCAACATAAAATAAATGCCATTGCGGAAACGGGGCAGCCCTGCCGACATGAGCGTTCAACATCAATATTTTTTGATAACCATCCATTTTGCTTAATGTTTAAGAAAGGTTTTTTGTATAAAAGTTTGAGCCATTTGATAATCTTATCACTGAATTTAAATTTTTTTAACGTTTCATACATAAAATTCCACTCTATACTATCAAACGCTTTTTGGAAGTCAAGAAAGATTATAGCGCCACCTATCTGATTTTGATTTTCAAAATATTCAAATACATCTAATACCAGTCGGCTACTATTTCCCATAAAACGACCATTAATATAAGCCGTTTGTTGCATATCAATTAATTTACCTATAACCTTTTGAAGTCTTTTTGCCAAGATAAAAGCTAAAATCTTATAATCTGTATTAGATAATGATATTGGACGATAATTTTTTAATAGTTCACGGTCTCCTTTTTTGAATAACAAAGATATGATAATTTTACGAAATGAAGTTGGTAAGATTCCAACTTCATATGACTCATTAATTGCTTCTATAACATAAATATGTATATCTTTCCAAAAGCATTTATAGAAGTCAGTGGTTAAACCATCTGATCCTGGGGAAATATCTTTTTTCATACTGGAAATAACAGGTAAACACTCACTATTATTGATAACACCTTCAAGGATGTCATTATCTTGTTTATCTAATGTATTAGGAAAGTTAATAGAATTCAAATAATTTTTTACTTTATTGGTTGGTTGGGATTTTGATCTATATAATTCGCTATAGAATTTAATTTCTTCTTTCAAAATATCCTCATCTAATCTAAGTATACCATTTTCTGATTTCAATGATGTAATTGTATTATTTGCCTGACGTGCTTTTTCTAAATTCAGAAAATATTTTGAGTTTTTATCTCCAAATTCTATTTCTTGCTCTTTTGACCTTAAGATGGCACCCTTTGTTTTGCTTTCAAGGTCTTTTTCAAAAATAGATAAAATTTCAAGCTCTCTAGCTTTTGTAGTGTCAGAAGTATGATCACTACTCTGTATTAAATCAAGCTCTTTATTTAGAACATTATTGAGTTTTAATAAATATGAAAAATATCATATAGATTTTCCTAACATAGAAAATATGCTTGCCTCCTATTTCAGCTTTTGAAAATACATGTTTATGCATTATTAGCCTATATTATACTATGGTAATTAAATAATCTTTCATAGCACATTTTGGATGCTCCACAAATGGATCTTCAATGTGTCTCCAAACCTGGTCTCCAAAATTCTTCAGAAATCTTAACATTCAATTACATAGTTAAACTGTTAAATGTGCCACAAAGATAAGAGACTAGTTTAAGAGACAATTTAATATTTTCTGCTCTTAGTCCATGCCATGTCTGTTTTCTAAGTCCATTAGCTCTTGTCTGCAAATAATTCTTGAAAATTGACAAAATTCTGAATTTTTCTCTGCAGTTCAGACAACATGAGCAAAGCCCTATAAACCATAATAACTTACCACTTGATCCTCTTCTCCTGCGTCTTCCACAAGCGTCAACTTCCATAAGACACACTGCAATGAGTATGAGACACAATACCAAGACACACTGCACTTTCATGATGACACTTTGCTGGATATCTCTTATTGCTGCACTTTATTGTCAAATGAAAGACGTTCGAGATCGAAAAGTTGTTTTGAAATAATTCTATCGGGAAGGTTGCTATTTATATATAAAAATGCTCCACTTGAATAAACCCCAAAATTGTTATCAATAACATGCAATATTTGGATTGGGGAGGGAATTAAATTTTGGAAACACATCAAAAGCGTTGCACAATTATTCATATTTGTCACGTTTCTTTATTTATGTTTACTGATTGGCTGAAATCAATGACCTTGAACTGAAAGAGGAAGTTCATTTGATTTATTAAATGACCTCCCTGTACTAAAAAAGTACTTTTTGTCTACCTTTTATTCAAATGAATAACTAATTCGTGGAACTTTTTTTCAACAAAAGATGGAGAAATCAATAATGTTTTCATTATTTTCATTAGATGTTATATTTTAATAGAACATTGTTTTTGCATCATATATGTCTGCCATTACTTAAGTATGTCTGCATTTTTACATCAAGGCATTGACATGCAAAATGTCACCACCTGTCATTTGTTACAGAGGGAGATGCTGACTGCCAAACACCTAACAGCAGCACTGAACACCAAACACCATGCACAAAAAAGTTGGATATCATATGTTTCCACCCTTGGAAATTTCATTTCAACATTTAGGCCTAATTCAAATATTTTTGATTTTGAACAATATTGAATTGAAAATGTATATCCATGTTGAAATGTGGGAAATATTACACCTTCTTTTAATTATTGGTAATTCATGTAATCATAACTAGGATGATGATAATTTCTCATCAAATTTATAAGCTTTTCTATTGAGATGCCATTTTCTATATTTTAAGTTAAATCTATAAACTTGAAAATATTCCTTCAGTGCATTTTGGTTGTTATATAAAGAAACTCTGTTTTTTATGTCATCACCGCCAAGTGATGAAATAGTCCCCAACTTTTTTATGGACGTGTTTAGCATTTGGCATCTGTAACATATGGAGGGGGTGAGATTTTGCGTATTTATGCTTTGTATTCAAAACATTGTTTGTTTTTTATTTCCAGTAATTGCCAGTAATTGGGATAAAGCTAGACCTATGAAATTGGAGACCAGTGGGTAAGGTTTACTTCCATATTCCCCTTATAGAAACTGCTTAGTGGAACACCTCTGTAAGTGGAACACCTCACTAGTGGAGCAGGTTTTTAAAATTCCTGTGGCCCATTGACTCCATGTTAATGAACTTATGTAAATATAACACCTTACTGTGGATCATTTTTTGTGGTCCAAAGGGCATTCCACTAACACGGGTTGTACAGTATTTTATATCATGCAAAACTGCAATACAAATACCTATTATGATAAAGTTGGCACAAGATTCAAGTGCCAAATGTGTTTACACTGTACAGTGCAAAAAGGTCAAATCCATTCTGGAAAATCTCAACTGATTTACAAATTCATGTATATTTCTCGCATTGAATAAATTATATTCCATTGTTTCCCAAAGGAGAAGTCTCCATTTGCATTTATCTAGTCTTCCCTTGTCTCCTTACCATAAAGGTAGGACTTCTATAAACAGTCTTATTCTTTTTTCTTGCAGAGTGTTGAAGACTATTAACAACCTACTTGAATAACCTTTGGAGAATACCACTGAATTAAATCAAGATGCACACTACAAACAACTGTAGATAAGTGTGGAACATTAGCAGGATGTTCTTTGATAATACCAGACCATATCCACTAATATCAAATAGTGTATTTGTCTCAGGAGCGATATATACACTAGCTAGTGTTCAGTATATGTTATGTTATTAGATGTCAAATGATTGACATTATGAGTGGTATGAAGTTTCCTGTCAAGCAATAATTACAGAAAAGAGGGTTTATGTCAAAGCGTATACTGATCGTGTAAGTTAGAGGTGGTCTCCAATTATCAACAGTCATAGAAAAAAGAAGTTCCTTAGGTGCCAGTATTTTTAAAGTGTGGGGCAATTCTATATAACAAGACACACAGTGATAAATATCGCACTTTGAAGAGCAAACTGGCCACCATGCAATTTACCCAGCATGGCCAAAACCTAATCAGACCTTGGCACTAGTCTGCTCTTGGATCTGTAAACATTTCAAGTTGACAAGGTTAGCGGTTTTCCTGCAATTTTGATGACAAGAATTTATTTGTAGTGTTGAACTTTTGGAAAATTTAGATAACATTGTTTGTGACCTAATTTGATGACCTTCGACCTTGAAAATTTCACTTTTTCAGGCCTCAGTAAGTGTTTTGTAATTAAGCTGACCTAAATTTAAATCCAAAATATCAATTAGAAAATCAACTTTTTTGACCTTTTCAAGGTCACTGAAGGTGAATGAAAGGTCAAATCTGAAATCTAAGGACAGATTTGAACTTCTGAGAACTTGTAGATGTTTTTTAAAAAAGAATTTGGTCAATTTGGAGCAAGTTGAAAAATTCTAAATGGCCGCCAAATTGAAAATTCAAAATGGCCACCATGTAATTCAGCCAGCATACCCAAAACCTAATCAGATCTTGGCAATAGTCTGCTCTTGCATCTGTAAAAATTTCAAGTTGAACGGATAAGTGGTTTTCCTGGAATTTTGATGACAAGATTTGTTGAAAAATTCAAAATGGCCGCCACGTAGTTTACCCAGCATGCCCTTAACCTAATCAGATCTTGGTACTAGTCTGCTCTTGCATCTGTAAAAATTTCAAGTTGAACAGGTAAGCAGTTATCCTGGAAATTTGATGACAAGATTTGGTTTATGTGCCGCCCGCCCACCCGCCTGCCCGCCCAACAGCACAAGACGACGACAATATAGCACTTTTTCAAAGTGTGATAAAAAATTAATGCCATGGCGTTTTATGCATTTTACGCCATTGCTTAAAGAGAGGATTTATTATCATATAAGTCAATGGGACTTCACATTTTTTAAAATATTGTTCCATATAGAGAGGCGTTTCTTACAGAGATATTCCATCTGACAGGTGTTAATGTATAAGTTGTCCAATTGTTATTATTTTTATGAAATAAATTATACTAAAAAAACCATTACTATCTTCCGTTATGACATTAAGGGCCACTTGGAGGGTGGTTGTCTGAACTGATCGAGTGTTAGCAGACTAGAGTGTGAAATATATGAAGCAATCTTTTCAAAAACAGGACAATGTTTCCCTCCAAATCTTAATTTTACTTTCTGAAATCAGAATTGAGATATCTGTTCAAATGTACGAGGGGGTATAGCATCAATTAGTGAGACAATTTTGAGGCAGCATCTTATATTCATTCAATGGTCCTTTTTCCATATAGCTTTAAAATCTTGTTAAAGTCACGTTTTTAATGAAACTTTTTCTTCTATCAAAACAACTTTGATTTGCACCGTTATTTACCTTTATTCAAATTCTAATGATTTTCTAGTTGTCTAAAAAAGGTTGGGCTAAATCCCCATTGACACAATGCTGAAAAACCTTTAAAGGCCCCATGTAAAGTTTAAACCACTTTGGCTTATATTGTAGTCTTCCCCAATGTTATCAAAGTGTGATATGTGAAACTTTTTTTTTAAATTTCAAAAAGTGGTTTTTGATAGACTTTTTGTTCCAAAATTTGTGAATTTATTTAAAACCAACTTTTAGAGGTCACTCATATCTTCTAATTAGCCACAATTCATATCAATGCATAGCATTCATCCTCCCATGTTTTTTGCCGAAAAAATTAAGAAAATCCGTTGATAAACAAGCGAGAAATGAACTTATCAGTGCATGAAAATGATTCTGAGAAAAATGCATTTCAAAATTTTAGTTCTCATAGAAACCAATGGTACAATGATATCTAAAACATAATTTATTCTTCCTTTTAACGTGGTTAGACAATCAACATTGGTTTTTTATGAAAGTCTAGCATATTTAGAAAAGATTGACATCGAAACAAAAAATTCAATTTTTTTCAAAAAGTTTTTGTTACCTTAGTGACATCACTAATGTTTCAAAATATTTTTGATAAGCTAAAACATTGAAGTGGCCCTTTAAATATGACATTTTATTATTGAAATAGTGTGTCTTTTGTTCAATCTTTGCATTGGTATTAAAAAGATAATCTTTTTTGAAATGCAATAAGAAATATTTGATGATTAAGAAATTTCAACTTTTTTTAAAAAATGGCGGGAAATTTGAATATATGAGAAATGAAATGCTCACAACTTTTTTTTCAAAAGATTTTTTTTGTTCAAAAATCTCTAAAATAACTTTTTAAGTCCTGACAAATAGTAAATGAATGATAAAAAAATATTTTCAAACTTTAGACGGGGACTTTAAAGGTTCATTTACTCTTACAAGGATCACAATTTTAATGTGAAATCACAATCCACATGTCTATAAGATCATATAGTTACATTCCAATGATGTTTTAAGTTGATCCAAATGGAATTACTTCTTAATTCAAGAAATTAAGTGACTCTGGTAATACATTTACATGTATTCTAGCCCTACCCTAGCCCTACCAATACCCATGATGCCATCTATTTTCCATTTATATGGAAAAAGGTCAATTGCAACAAAACTTGGTACATGTATATATATCCCCAGAGTATTGAATGAACATACTCATTAATTTATTCCAATAGATACCTAGAGTAGGTTGAAATAAGCATGAATCCTGAAGAACTCTATTTCACCATTATACAATACATTGCTATCAAGGGAATACCAGTATTAGAAACCTAAAGGGCCTACAGGAGATGTATGGAGAAGAAAATGTGAAGATACACACTGTGTACAAGTGGAATTCTGCCTTTTGAAATAATGGAAGCCACACCATATTTGATGTTCCCAGATCTGATCGCAAACCTGATATTGTGATCCCAGCAAACATCAAACTGATAGAAGATATGAATTCTAAGGATGGTATATTCACAATAACTGAACTTACATATTCAATACAGCCATCAAGGTATAGGGGACTTGAAAAATACGAAGTAAAATTTTGAAATGAAGTTTTTTTTACATTTATAACTGCTCCAGGGTACTGGTCATGACGTCACAAAGAAATCTCTTTAATCACTATATGGTAGAGTTAACTTATCAAACTACATGGGAATGCAGCATACCATGTAGGTTTGGTAAAAATATCAATGCAATTAAAGCAAGTTCTAAAAAGTTACGACATTTCTCACGACTCAATGATATTGTACAAGTTACTGAGCAAGGGAATATCTCGAAGAAAAACCACTGAAATGTTGGACTAGAAAATAGGGATAATATGGAATGATGGCAGCAAGTAATATTGTATTGTAAAATTGTGATAATGTTTGGAAGTTTCTACCGATGACTCATCACTAGTCTTTTACCTTTAATTGCTGTTCTTTGTCCAAATCTTCTGTCTGATTCTTACTATTGAATTTTTAAGTAATTGCAGAGATGAAATTAATTTGCTGAGAAACAAAACCTACTCAAAGATTTTTCTCCGAACACAAGCGTCCAGAACTAATACCTCCTTCTCGGAAGAAAGAAGGAACATAGTAGACGATGGCTGGAGCCCTGGGATCAGAAGATGTAATATTTATAAAATATCAAAGATTTGTGAAGTGTAAAATTATACATTTTTATTAATGTATTATATTCAATCTACTGTATAACAGTAAAAAACTTCAAATTCTATTAAAATAAATATAGTTGGTCAATTAATCAATATTTCATATTGCAATATATACATGTTTAAGTTTTAAAATCAGATTTCAATATATATTTCGTAATAGTAGAAAGCCCAAGAAAATTTGAGCAGTTGAGTGAAAATTCTTAAATAAGGCACTCTGACAATTCCAATCAATTTCAGAATAAGGCCAAATAAAATGAGCCATTTCTTGGGAGTTCTTCGCCATACCATATAATAATAAAAACAAAGCATTTAATATTCTCTGTAAAAAACTAGATTTTGCATAGTTTTAATTCCAATTGGAACATGACTGTATTCACGCCTCTTGTAAACTTTGAACAAAATCAATATTTCACCCGGGATATATTCGCAAACAAAACCCCTGCTAATATGAGCAATGTGTGGCATCATAACGGCATGCCATAGTAATGCCGGACCATAATGAATATTCGAAACATTTTGGTGAGTTTTCATGTTCGAATCGTAATATAGGCCTCAGTGCAGGTGGTATATTGACGAATACAATTCACAGGGCTTTTGTGCCTAGCCCTAAGGTCTCTATTATTCGATATAACACCTGCTCTGACGTCTATATTTCTTAATTATTGAACCTTAATAGACAAATGCTTCATTCCATAACATTATTAATTCACTATGTTACAGTACATACAGACATGCATCTTAAAGATCTTACAATAATTGTTTTGTAATTTTCATGATGGTGACTCATTTTCAAATACTACAACTCTTTTAAACAATTTCTAACAAATTCAATGTATGGCCAAAATTTCATTTTGTTTTTGTTCCAGTGTCAATTTATGTTTAATAATAATTTATTCTGTATATTTTGCATCCCATTATAATGCACACTTGTGTTTTTAAATTTTTGAGCTTCTCCCTAATATCAGTACAACTAATAATAATGATATAGGACCCAAGTCAATAATTCAATATCACGAAACAATTATTTTTACAAATACCATACACTTAAAATGTAACTGAACATTGTCACCCCCCACAATGTAAATAATTAATTATGATTGTGGCCAATTGTCAGTATGTACCAATAGACAGGTAGTGAAGTTGTCCCTGGGAAAACTAACTGCCAGGTAATTTGAAAATTTTTGTCTAATATGCCCAAGTACATGAATTAAAGAGGGGAAATCAACATACCTGTTCATGAAATTTGTACTAAAATACATGGTTCATAATACTGCCAAAATGACCAGGCTTATTAATTATTTCTTGATTTAATGTTTTGATCATTTTTAAAGGAGACGGTAAATCCAATATTCAGGCATAGCTTTCGTTGAAACATCATTTCATTTGCACTGCAAGCCAGATGGCATTAGTGTGCATGGGTTTGCTTTCATGGCTCATTACAATGTATACAGATGCATTGATACAGCTATAGATAAATAAATTTATAAATAATTGTAAATAATGATTAATCTGAAGTTGTTTTGCATGCCTAGTCACTGAAAAAATTGGATAAAATTCAGAATGAATACAAAATGTAAAGTATTATGCCAGAGTCATTTAGTTAACTGAATAAATTACAGTACTACATGTCTACATACGTATTTAATTAATAGACTATAAATAAGATTGTGTTCACGATAATACCTTTACTTCTTTGGATCTTTCGTAGATAAGTCCTCAAAATAATTATTTGACAAGCTTAAAATACTGAAATGTTTGAGCATTTGAAAAATGTCCCTGAAATCTGTGGATTGTTCTATAATCTGATAATGTCCAGCAGTCTGACCAAGCATTGCTCATTGTCCATATAAGGATAGTATGAATTCTGAACTTCCTTCATGCAATTGTTCAAAATTCTGCGCTTTCTTTTAAAATGTACTTGTTCAGAATTCAGGACTTCCTTCCCGCACTTGCTCAGGTCGAGATATTACATAATCCTCAATGTTCTGGACACAATTCTGAGTAATGGAGTCTGGAAAATACAACAATCATAAAGAGTCAATAATTTACCAGTCTACGGACTACGTGTACTTCAGTTAATTAGTACTCTGGTACAAGTGATATTACAAAAGGCTTATGAAGAAACATTAATCATTTCATGATCTATTCACGAAAATTTATTATGGGAGTGTACATTTATAGTTTCTTCATTCTAACATACCTAGCACCCATTGTTCAGAGACTGTAATTGCAGTATTCTTGGTCATGGTTCCCACACAAAGGGTAGCCTTGCGTAAACACATTGTTACCTATGACAAGAAAGAAAAGTTATTTTATATGACAAGAAAATATTTAATAGCAACTACCTACAATTTGACAAACCTCATACCCTGAAAATGAAGGTTTTTTCAAACAGCCGATCACAAATTGAAAATTGGATTATTCAATCCAACAATTTTAATTTTTTAAGATACAAACATTACGATAAAACTATAAAATATTATTCTTTTAGCTTAAACTTTTGAACAGAAGTTTTTTCATATGGCTTTTAGGGATTCTTATTGGTATATAATTTTAGCGAATATATCATTTCATGATGATAGTGAATATTATGAATTAACATTAATCAAATTGAAAAAATCAAAAAAATCAACCCAATGCTCTTCTGGACTTGTCAACCACTTGAAATTACAAAATTAATGTCTCATCGATAACAAAACCTTGCACAGTATGCCAGTGTTTCAATCAACACATGATAATAAAATATGTTGTATCATCTACATACCTCAGCACCACATAGTTGCAAAAGCTGTGTGAGGTGTGATTTGGGAGGACTAGAATTCTCAGCTACATAAATGGTCTCCAGATTATTAAACAGACTTGGCAATTTTTCCTGTTTCTCTGTTCTAAACTCCCGCCTTGTCTGCAAGCAAATGTACAAGTATTACAAAACACATTTTTCTAATAATTTCCATGTTTATACAGGGTGTCAAATAAGTCTGTTCTCCCCCTTTAACTTTTTTATCTTTAAATTTATCATACTTTCCCATATATCATTTTGAAGCTCATGGAAAATGCTGATCACCCTCAAAAAATCAATAATGAAATATTCTTAATAAAATTCCTACAGTGTTTCGTGTAAGGTTGTAGTTGACCTTTGATTACGTCAAAACAAGTAAAATTACCAGTTATAGTGAATGAAAAGTGAAAAGTTGATACTGCAGTGACAATGCCAACATTGGGTGATTTCGATGTTTTTCAATATCATTACAGAGTAAAATGTGTTACATTCAGGGGAGCCTTTGAAGCAGGGGCATCTTTCATCACAAAATAGTTGATAACACCTAAAATTAAACGTTCTGAATGATTTGTACAGGATCATATCCTCGTAGAATTGAGGCCATCCGAGCTGCTGGGGGAGACATACAGACTATTAAAAAAGTGAAATATGGACATCACTAAAAATACTCTAAAAAATTTGGAATTTAACCAATCACTCTGAAATTTGGTGTGTGATCAGCAAATTAAATTCCCTTTAAGATGATATATACCAACGCTATGTTATTCCTGAATTAAAAAAGTTAAGGGGGGAGAACAGACTTATTTGACGCCCTGTAGAGGAATGAATTTGAAAGTTTCAGGGATAAGATTCAAGGCAATATGCATAGAGACTTATGTTTTATACAAATGAGATCTACACAGTCATGTAGAAGCAAAAAGAAATGTTTTCATCACTTTACAGTTTATCACTCTATACATGTGTACAGGCACTTTTACTTTAATGAAAGTGCATATAAAGATATTTCAAATAAATCCTGAATATATTTATGATGTCATGCTTTGCAGGTGATGTTTTTAAAGAAAATTAAAGTTTATGAAAATTAGCAAAACTGTAATTCTATTTCTGGTCTGAAAGTGTAATAATGACATCACAACCAATGGATTGCATGATTTTAGTCAATTTGTTTATTCAAATCAATGTTACCTTGGCAACAGGGAAGTATTCTGTAACTTCAAATTCCTTTTCATCTAGCCATTTGTCTGCCTCCAGAGATTTCAGAACCTGGAAACATGACAAACAAAATCTCTTCTATTTCATCTATATATTCACATATTTGACATGATGTTTTCAGTCATGGTCATTGTTTGACAATTTAATTTTGTATTGTATATGGTACACAGTAAACCTTGTATATCAAAATACCTCTCTAATCTCAACATGTTTAAATATGAACATTTTTTCATTCCATTTTTTAATCTGTCATGGACCTTCATGTTAAAAAAACTCAAAATGTATATTGCCAATGAAACACCTGCCAATGCAAACACTATTGGCCAACAAAATGTATATTGCCAATGAAATACCTGCAAATCCAAACACTATTGGCCAGTCCCAGAGGTGTTCAGATTAGACAGGTTTTACTGTTATCAGAATTAAATCATTTGAGTAGGTTAGATATTTTCACACATACCCATTCCTTAGATACCAGCCAACAGCCCCTTGCTATCCCCTTCAGTACATTTAAGGTCCTTCTGGGCCCACCACACACAACATGAGATGTCCCAGGGCCCACTGCATCTGTGATATGAAACACTCCAAGTTTCTTCACTACTGATGTAACAATGCCTTGTTCACTGAAAAAGTGCGCATTTTGAATAACTTATAAATACCTATATGGACTTCATTATGGTACATAACCTTTTCCTTTTATAAATGAGGATTAATTTAAAGAGAAAGTCCTGGCACTCAATTTTCAAAAACTTTGGATTTATGTAAAGTCGTATTGTTGTAGATTATGCAATATGGCAACTGATGTCACATCACAATACAATACAATACAGTACATTGTAATACAATACAATACAATGCAAAATAAGAGACAATTCTAAAATAAACAAATGGGTTTAAAGGGTTTGAGTTGAAGGAGTCAACAGAAAAATAAGTTGTACTTACTCAGAATGTAAACTGGTCATTACCAAGTTACCAGGACATGGTCCAACAATCGCAACTTTCCTTCTGTGGCGTCCCCCATCACCGTCACTTTCACTTCCTGAACTTGACGACTTATATTTTCTTTGATTTTGTGAGGCACTGTATGACTGAGTAGGCCGGAATTCATCTGTACTTCTTCGAGGACGTGTTAGAACTGTTACATGAGATTGTGACCCTGTGTATGGTAAGTTTGTGATACAAGGCCTAGATGTACGAATTCTTTGAGGCTTGCGGGGAGAATCTGGTTCAGAATCAGTGCTTATATTCAGGGGGTTTTTGGCAAGAATAGCTGAACTTTTCTTATTCAGCTTCTTAGATTTCGGAGAATATGCTAAAGACAGATCACTTGAGTCATTTAATACATCCAACTGTTTGAGGGACCTGAATGGCTGAGAAATTGGTTTTACAAAACCAATGAAACCATTATTACTCGGACATGGCTCTTTTCCAACTGCATCTTTTACTGGGGATAAGAGTAATAGGTCAGTTTTCTCTGTTGAGTTTTCCTTGATTGAGGCCAGAGGTGCATCGTGAATGTTTGGGAGAACAAGGCCAGCTAACCGCCCACTACGTCGACGATTAACAGAAACTTTCTTTTTATCAGACACAATGGGAGATGTTTTGTTAGGTTCTGAATTTGATACTTTTGTTCTCTTTGAACTTGGTGTCATGTCTTTATCCATATTAGGGACTATCTCATCAACAGCAACACTTTTCCTTTTTCTAGGTCTACCAACTGGGGTTGCCACATCAGGTTCAACAGCAGCCTTAGGCTGTTCCTTTGTTTTATTATTATCTGTTTTACTATTAAGTCTATTCATTGATGGCTCTTTCGATTCAACATCTTTAGTTCTATTGGTGGTTGCAATGCTTTTCCTCCTATTGGTTGGTGTTTTTGTTGTTTTACAGTCATTTGCAAATGTCACACTTTTTCTCCTTGTTTTACTCACAGATGAGTGCAATGTCTTTTCTCCTGTGTTTTCCTCAACTTTGCTGTGTCCTGAGGCTGTTTCAAGTTCTTTATTGGATTCTACTTTCTTTTCTATGATTGTCTTAGATTTTGGTCCAGGTTTTCTGTTCTGTTTTGGCTCGTGTATTTTTTCTTTGGTCTGAAGTGTATTGGATGATATGGTTGGCTCTACTATAAATGAAAGCCTTGGTTCATCATGCTCTTTCAGAGATAACAACTTCCTTTTGCCTGATGGTTTCCTTGGTTTGACCATTTTAGGACTAGACTTAGGATTTTGTTCTGACTTTAAAGTTTGTGGGGTTTTCTTTTTGGGACTTTTTGTAGCTTGTTTAGGGCTTACTGATTGTTTACTTGGACCTTTGGGATCTTTATTTGGACTTTTTCCAACTGGACTTTTTGTAGCTTTCTTAGGGCTTTTGGCTTGTTTGCCTGGACTTTTCTCTGGTTTGGTTGGAGTTTCTTGTTTACTTGGACTTTTTGCTTTTTTATATGGGCTCGCTTTCAGTTTCTTAGGACTTCCTTTATCTGGAGATTTTGTATAATGGCTCACTAAAATATCCTCCTCCACTTCTAAGATATCTGTATCATCACTATCTGAAGCATCATCTTTATGATCCTGATGTTCAGATTTGATTGATCCTTGTGCTAAACTCCATCTAGTGCTATGAAGATCTGTTCCTAGCAAATTACCCGGAGCGGGTTTTGACAAGGGTGAGCTACCCAAGTTCATAACAATATCATCAACTTTTTGAGCGATTCTCTCTTGAGAGCTTTCACTGTCTGTTGTGTTAAAAGATTCCTTAAATTCACCTATTTCTTCACTATTATCAGAGAATTGAATAGGGAAGTTTAATGCACTTGAAGCAGAAGTTCCTGGGAGGGCATCAGTTGGAGTGGATTTCTTAAAAGGAGTGTTGTCTCTGCTGTTTTTTAAACTGTTATCTGAAAGAAACATAGAGATCACTATAATATGTAGTATGTACAGTTAAACTTTTATACTGTGAGCAACACAGCCATTTTCCTCACGAAGAACCTTCATTTTAAAGAATATGTTTTTTGTTTGCATCATATTCATTTAGGCCAGTACCTTCATGAAGAAAATTTAAAAATATTTTGAAATACATATTTCAACACTTATAGAAAAGGAATTTATGTGAATTGTTCAATAAACATGCACCATACATGTACATTCAATTTTTGAAACAAATGGACTTACTGAAGAGACGTCTCTGTATGGGGGTCAAAGGTGAAGCCTCAGGAGTATCAGCCAATGACATGTCATCTGATAAATACAACACTAAAACAGTTCATACATGACTAAGCCATTTTGACTTCAAAACTGAGATAAAGAAATGCAAATTTTAAAAATTCAATTTAAACTGGTAATGATACATAAGAATGAATAATCAGTAAATCATTTGACCATCCTATTCAAGAAATAAAAGTTTTTCATAATGTTACCTAAATATTATTCATGGTCACATTTTTGTGTCTCCTAATGGAACTAGCAATGACAAGGGAAACCCAAGAAAATTGTACAAAACTGAAAGTTAAGGGCAAATATCACAAGAGATTTAACACGTTTAAATTATGATTGTTTTCTGGAATGTATTGGCTGAATTATGCATTCAAAACATAATTTCATTTGAATTCCATTGACTTGTTGATATCAAGAATTTCTACCTGTGCTTCCATATGAGAGTTTTCCCAGCTTCAATTGTGCAAGTTTCTCCCTCATACTTGGGGGTGTATCAGGAATGGTGATGTTGGGGGACATAAAGCGCTTTCCTGATCCTCCTGGTGAATCCTTGAAACAAATATAGAGTGTGCAAAAGTCTGATGACAACACATAGGACGACATGTCAACAGCTGGGTTGTTATGACAACTAACAAATGCATCATTAAAGAGTTTGTGGCCTGCTTCACCATTTTGGACAGGGGTGGTGATTTGGGGATTTTAATCAAAATTCACATAAGCACATATTTTTCAATTGTGGTCTCAACCTGAACTCTCATAATCTAAATGTCATCATCCTCCACTTATTAGGTAACCTTCAAATGGACAAAAATGGTCTAATCAAAACATTTTTATTTGGTCATCCTGATCTTTCAACTGAACAGAACATTATGATTTTCAAACTAGTTACAAATTTTTTATCAGACAATTCCACTTAATGCTCAAGATGGCCTCCTTATGCTCCAACAGATCATCTTATCACCTTGCCCCAGCACCATTGCCCAGCAAAGACCAGCAAACCCCTTTGTCAGAAAAATACATCTTTTTCACATACTCAATGTTCTTTTTATATTTAAAGTGAACCTATAATGCTATCCTTTCATAGCGATTGGTCACTTATATCAGAAACTATTTGTACTTGTATATAATGAAATAAAACAGATTATAAAAAAAAAAAAACATAAGGGAATGCTAATTGGGTAAAATTGTCCAAGTTGAAAAAGTCCATCACCTGCCTTATAGCATAGTTTAAATGCTCACCCTTTGGGGAAATGAGTAGCTCAGGGAAACCAGTAGTTAACAGTACACAGCTTCAATAACAGCATTATTAAAACAAGTATGATAAGAACAGGACAAATTAATTTAGGAGAAAGCCAAGGGCATTGCTAGGATGGCTCTTCCATAGAGTTTAATTTTAAAAGAAAATGTAATTTAAGTTTAATCCTTCAAACAAAGGTTCTATTTGATATAAAATGCATATTCTGCCTATAATTTGCAAATTAGCTTACAGGTGTTTCAGGCTGCGTTTCCTCCACCAAAATCTTGCCTAGCAGTCCACCTTTGCGCTTATTGGCCAGGTTATTCCTTCTTCTCACACGTTTCTGGACTTTTTCTGCACTATTTGCGACCTCCTCATCAAAATCTTTCGGCTGCATCGATTTTGATTTCTGAAATGAGAATGGTGCTATAGCACTTCCCTATCAGAAACTCTGTCCAGGTTATGAAATCTTTTAGAGCACTTATACTGGTACATGCATATATTATGAGAATGTATCAGTTTGTTTTTCAGAAAGAATGGCCTTTAACTATCAAAATGCACACATTTGATAACATGAAAAGGCACAAATGCCGCCATTCAAGTTACATAAAAAAATTAGTTGGACAACACTCGACAGACATTCCACCCAAAAACTGAAAAGGCATTATAAAAATAAAACTACACCCCTGTTACATAAATGTAATCATTTGTTACAGACACTGAATGTCAGCAACAAAAATGGTGACAATAACAATACCACATGTTTGTTAAAAAACAAAAATATGAAAACAAAAGATAAAGTAATTTTTTAGATTTTATTTTTAAGTAAAGACACAGTTATACAGGCAAACGTAGCTATCAAGATCTCTTGAAAGATTATCACAACCTAGTATTTGAAATTAAAAAACCTTTGATTGGCTCTCTTTGTTGGCAAAGTATGCATATAGTTTTAATTGTCCGCTTTAGTTTACAAGCATGTATAGCCTTGGCTGTTAACAGAGTAGCTTACATCAGCCAGGTTACTATGGAAACCACTGTTGCTATATAAATTATCAAAGGGTGCTCTATACAGGTCAGTACTCCTCTCCAATGTGATCTGAGGCTCATAACTAATGTTAACTCTTGGTTGTGAACTGTAAGTGGTTTTCAGAGAATTAGTTATGTTGAACTGCGACCCAAAAGCAGTTGTCACTGGTGGTTGATAAATATAACTCCTTGAAGATTCTTGGAACTGAGACTGTGGAGGCATATGAGAAATTGGGGACATCTGTTTGGAGTTTGCTTTTGGAGGACGGTTGCTTCCTGCAGGCTTGGGATGATACTGGTGGGAAAAGGAAGGTGACTTTGACTGATGTGACTTAAGTCCCTTTTCGCCACGCTTGGTACGATGTCTGATACTTCGTCTACTGTAATCCCCCTTAGAGAAGTCCTCAATACACTCAGGGTGGATCGACCAATAGTTTCCCTTTCCAATGTTAGCTCTTCCTGACTTGACAAAGCATCCATTCAGAGATAGATTGTATCGGACACTATTCCTCCATCCCCGCTCTCCATTATTGTACTGTTCAAAATTGTCCTGGATATATTGATAGATCTCACCCAAGATCATACGCTTATCTGGCTTACTTAAGATTGCTTCAATGATGAGTCCAATGTATGAGTTTTTTGGCTTGACAGCTTTAGAGGCTCCATCTTTAGCTATTGATTTACCCATGTTATAAACATCACTATTGTCACTTATCATTGACTCTGGACTACTTGGATTACTGATTTCCTCAACTGACGGGTTTGGAGATGCTGTAAGATTGTCAATAGATGGAGATAGTGTCCTTGATGTGATTGGTTCTCTCATATCAGGTGATGTCTGTGGAACATTGTTGCAGCCATTTTGATTTGAGATACAGTGATGTGATGTCACCGAGTCTCTTGTTGCTAAGTGACCAGAGTAGGTGGCTGACATGTTGACAGGCAGTTGATTGGTTGACTGGAAATAAAATATAATAAAAGTTATGAATTATATTAAAAGAAAAATACAACACCACAATTCACATTCTTTAATTATCTGGTTTTAATTCTTGATATCATAATTCATAATTTAAAAAATTAAATAATCGGATGAGCTAATCTTAATGAAAGTTATTGAATGAAACTTATTTTATGTAATTTCTAATTCAGCAATATAAAAGTAAAGTATTTCAATTACCTTATAATGAAATGCAGTCATATCATAACGATTATCCAGATTATTTGCACCATAGCCAGTAAAGTCACTGATTTTATATCCACTATTATGTACGTCAGTAGTTATTGGCGCATTTGAAGTATTTGGCTCATCAGTGGTGACACCTCCAACTAGGTAGCTCATAAGTTGTAATGTTTCCATTTTTATTGCAGTTCTGATTTTCAGTTAGTTTCAAGTTCCAAGCGTGTTTGTGAGATGCGTATGCTTTGCTTGCTTGGTTACTGAATGATTTTCACACAATTCAAATCGAGTTTTATACTTGTTGGCCAATGTTTTGCAAAAAATGAACTGTCAGTGATGTTTTGAAAAACATTAATATAAACCCTTTTTCCAAACATCAACAAACAAATACCTATTTAACAAACAACAGTCCTGGCATTGTTTGACATTGTTTGACATGTTAGTGATCGTAGTGTGTCACATACATGGGGATTACATTTGTAAAACAGGGGTATATACAAGGGGATTACATTTGTAAAACAGGGGTATATACATGGGGATTACATTTGTGAAACAGGGGTATATACAAGGGGATTACATTTGTGAAACAGGGGTATATACAAGGGGATTACATTTGTAAAACAGGGGTATATACATGGGGATTACATTTGTGAAACAGGGGTATATACAAGGGGATTACATTTGTGAAACAGGGGTATATACAAGGGGATTACATTTGTAAAACAGGGATTTATACATGGGGATTACATTTGTCAAAACAGGATTATATGACAACGAATTCTAGAAGATATTCTTTGTATCTACATTCTCAGGTAATAATTATAATATATATACACATGTATATTTATGTATAAGAATATTTAAACTATTTTAAGAATATATCACACAGATATCTATTTTTCAGAAACTTTTATTGGCTTTTGTCACAAATATCATGATGAATATTAAATAATGACATAGTCCATAAATACCTTGAGTTTTCCTATGATAAGAGGTGAGTTGTTCTCATTTGGTAAAATCACTGGGAATAAACCCTCAGATACATGCTCTTGGTTTTGCTTGCAGCTTAAAATCAAATTGAAAATATGGTTAATATTTTGACTTTTCACATGTTGCAGGCTCTAGATTCCCATTATTGTGTTCTTAATGTTTTAAAGGCATTGATAATGTAGTGAATCTTACATAGGCTAATAGTAATTACATATTATAAAATAATTCAATCTTTTACCAACCACTTTGTTAAACATTAGTGGATCACATGTTACATCATTCATGTATCTATTGAAATATTCACATTTGTCTTAAAAAGTAAGAGAGGATTCCGATGTAAACATTTTATTCAGACTGTTATGCATATTTCCAGTCATCTCCACAAGATTATTCTCTCAACAAGGTGCCAAATCCTAATTTAATCAGTAGCTTACATATCTACAAGCACATTCACAAGATGCATTCCTTTCTTAATAGCTTTATATTTTGCTTATCTATCTACCCAAAGCACATTCACAAGATGTATTCCTTTCTTAATGGCTTTATATTTTGCTTACCTATCTACCCAAAGCACATTCACAAGATGAATTCCTTTCTTAATAGCTTTATATTTTGCTTACCTATCTACCCAAAGAACATTCACAAGATGCATTCCTTTCTTAATAGCTTTATATTTTGCTTACCTATCTACCCAAAGCACATTCACAAGATGCATTCCTTTCTTAATAGCTTTATATTTTGCTTACCTATCTACCCAAAGCACATTCACAAGATGCATTCCTTTCTTAATAGCTTTATATTTTGCTTACCTATCTACCCAAAGCACATTCACAAGATGCATTCCTTTCTTAATAGCTTTATATTTTGCTTACCTATCTACCCAAAGAACATTCACAAGATGCATTCCTTTCTTAATAGCTTTATATTTTGCTTACCTATCTACCCAAAGCACATTCACAAGATGCATTCCTTTCTTAATAGCTTTATATTTTGCTTACCTATCTACCCAAAGCACATTCACAAGATGCATTCCTTTCTTAATAGCTTTATATTTTGCTTACCTATCTACCCAAAGCACATTCACAAGATGCATTCCTTTCTTAATAGCTTTATATTTTGCTTACCTATCTACCCAAAGAACATTCACAAGATGCATTCCTTTCTTAATAGCTTTATATTTTGCTTACCTATCTACCCAAAGCACATTCACAAGATGCATTCCTTTCTTAATAGCTTTATATTTTGCTTACCTATCTACCCAAAGCACATTCACAAGATGCATTCCTTTCTTAATAGCTTTATATTTTGCTTACCTATCTACCCAAAGAACATTCACAAGATGCATTCCTTTCTTAATAGCTTTATATTTTGCTTACCTATCTACCCAAAGCACATTCACAAGATGCATTCCTTTCTTAATAGCTTTATATTTTGCTTACCTATCTACCCAAAGCACATTCACAAGATGCATTCCTTTCTTAATAGCTTTATATTTTGCTTACCTATCTACCCAAAGCACATTCACAAGATGCATTCCTTTCTTAATAGCTTTATATTTTGCTTACCTATCTACCCAAAGAACATTCACAAGATGCATTCCTTTCTTAATAGCTTTATATTTTGCTTACCTATCTACCCAAAGCACATTCACAAGATGCATTCCTTTCTTAATAGCTTTATATTTTGCTTACCTATCTACCCAAAGCACATTCACAAGATGCATTCCTTTCTTAATAGCTTTATATTTTGCTTACCTATCTACCCAAAGCACATTCACAAGATGCATCCCTTTCTTAATAGCTTTATATTTTGCTTACCTATCTACCCAAAGCACATTCACAAGATGCATTCCTTTCTTAATAGCTTTATATTTTGCTTACCTATCTACCCAAAGCACATTCACAAGATGCATTCCTTTCTTAATAGCTTTGTCTCTGGTACTTTTCTTGCCATCTTTGAATACAACATGAGTCACTTCATTTGAAAACTTCTTCATAATGTTGGCCCCCAGTAACTCTAACTCTCTCATGATCGCTCTACTACGGTTTTCCGCAACTGAACGCACCTCAACATAAGCATTCACATCTGTAATAAAAAAAATATTAGTGAACTTGTAAATTGTAATATAATGATGACATTGCCTAAAATCTAGGAACTGTATTAGTTATCCATTGCTTTTGTTCTTTAAGATACAGGCCTGACAGAAACTATTCTCAAAGGGGGGAGTAGTTTTAAGATTTTACTGGAAGAAGTCTGGAAATAATAAACACATAGTACATAAATGAAGATCATTGTATACTAAACGAAAAAGAAATGATTACTGAAATACAACACTACTTCCCAGGGATTTTCTTAAAGATCTCCAATACACCCTTCCCCCATCCCCCATTCAAACATTAATATTGAACCTCCTCCTCTGAAAATGAACGGGGAAATAGTCCCTAGATGTAATACTCATAAACATCTCGGACTTACTCTTGACCAGCACCTAAACTTCAACGCTCACATTGACCACTTAATTAACAAAGTAATAAGCCTGATGAGGCCCATGAAGAAACTCTGCAAGATCTTGTCAAGCAAGCACCTTGAAACTTTATATAATGCATACATACTCCCTCATTTTGATTATTGTGACATCATATACAATAGTGCATCAGATACCAAATTGCAATCTCTTGAACGGTTACATTATAGAGCAGCATGTCTAGTCTCTGGAGCAATCCATGGCTCGAACACTAATAAAGTTCTCTCATCAATAAACTGGAAAACTTTATCCTCTAGAAGAGAGGAACATCTCAAAATATTTATTTTTAAAGCAAGATATAATAACTTTCCTCCTTTCATTTGTAATCTTGTCAGGTCCTATGAGAATGATATACAGGTGCGCTCACTAAGGAGCCACAGGGACTATAAGATTCCCCTTCAAACAAGCGCTTTGGCTAAGAAATCTATAATTTTTAAAGGTATGGCCCTTTGGAATAACCTTCCACCAGATTATAGAATTGGCCAGCCAATTTCAAGATTTAAAAGAATAGTAAGAGGCGATGGAAGCCATGCTTCTACCCTATCCACATCAAAACTAAAAAATGCCATGCCTCGCTACCTAGAAATTCCGTTAAACCGACTCAGGTCCGGACTTCTCTTGCAAGCTCACCTCCATGCACACAACTTTGAACGGGTTGCTAATCCTAAATGTTTATGTGACAATACAAACCAGACAACTTTACATTTCCTGTTGAAATGCCCACTGCTGACAGAACAGAGAACAACACTACTTGCAGGATTGGAGACGATAGGGATCCGTACCCACTATGATGGACTTAATATGCATGATCAATCCCAGTTCTTACTTTTTGGAGATAATAAATTTCCAATAGATGTCAATGAGAAACTAATGAACATAGTAGTATACAAATAGTGACTGCCATTGAGGGCAATAGTGTAAATTATTTCCCCGAGGGAATATCCTCTACAATGTACTATTCCCGAAGCCGCAGGCTGAGGGAATAGTACATTGTAGAGGATATTCCCAAGGGGAAATCATTTACACTATTGCTCGAAATTAGGCAGTCACTATTTGTTTTATTATATACCCTATACTGACTCTTGTCCCGTTTCCTCTGCGAAGGCCAAAAAGGCTTACAAAGCCCCCGTCCCCGGGTCCATTGTTAGCAATATAAGCTGTGACGTCATCAGATGCTCAACAGAAATTTTTGCCTCTGAGACTCTCACTTGACAAATTCAATCGCGTTTAACACGCGGAATAGATTATCATAACACTTGAAATTACACAGACGTATTGAGCTTAGGGAACTTTATACACGTTGCTTATATTGTATCGTTCACGCACGTCTGTCATGGTGAACGGAGTTGATTTGTGTTTGTGCTCATCCTCCATTTTTCTGTTTTTGTCTGCGCAGTGATGATGCGCAGACGTTTCCAAGGGTAATAGAACTTGCAATTGTGACGTCAGCGGGCAATAGTTTAAATGTATATTCCCGCTGACGTCACATTTGAGGGAATATAACTTTCCGAGGGAAATAGTAAATCTATTTCGGAACACGTGACTAGGTATTGACCAATCAGGATTAGTGTTACATATTGGGTATATAATAACATATTATATCCACCAGGGTCTAGATCTTTTGGACATGTAATCGATTACAACATGTTACAACTGAAATCCCTCTGGCCAAGGGAAAAAAAAAAAACCTTACACATTTTTGTGATACACGAGTGTAGTGTGATGATATTTTATTGACTTTTTTTCATCTATTTTAACAATAACATGACATAAAAATAACTTATTATGTAAAAACTTAATAACATTCCTTTGGATTTCACTCAAAATTGCCGTCAATGTCATTAGACTTTGGCAATTGTTTAAGTTTGTATATCTGTATTTTATGGAATACAATAAAGATGATTAATAAAAATAAAAAAAAGATCTACTAAGTAAGAGGTCTAGTACTGCAAATTTGAGTAATTAATCCATTCTTTTCAAAAATATTCCTCTAATAGAGGTTAATAAAATCAATGCGTGATATAATTCATACAACATACCTTTCAACACTCTCTGGTCCACAGGCTGGGTGGCTGGTATATCCTCAGTGTCATCAATATCAATGTTTCTATCAAATATATTGCCTGTTGTATTGTTCATACTACTGTCATCATCATTCATTGAGATGTCATCTGCAGGGCTGTCCAACTTTATGGAAGCAAAACTCATTCTGCTGAGTCTACTCATCTTCCTGAAAACAGAGATATCTTTGAATATGTAGTTTAATATCCTTTGTGAGCAAAGTTAACTTTACCTTGATTTGAATTGTTCAAATCATGTTCATGTTCTCAGTCTCAAGTCATGTTCTGTCTGAGCCTGCCCAATGCTCCTTTTGGGCAAGACGAATAATAAGCCATTAAATCCACATTCACTGATAAGTATGCCAATAAGCTTTGATTGAATCAACGTTGTGGTAAGGCTTCTTTACTGAAACTCTACTATAACTCACTGTGACAAATATACAAAATACTTGCACTCTCCTGAAAAAAAACAGTTCAAGAAGACATGTGTCTCTAATGTCAGCTGTTGATACAAGTTCATGCAGAGCTGTCAAGTGTCCCGCGAATGGCGGGATTATCCCGCGAATTTGATCAAAATTAGGCTAATTCGCGTGTCCCGCAATGTCCCGCGAAGTCCCGCAAATGTGGCTTTGACCTCCGCGAATTTCCGAAATTGTTGCAATCCCCTATATTGTGATTATCTTATCTTATATAAGAAGCTAAGTTTTTGCACTTTTGAGGTGTAAAGTTTACCTAATTTTAAGTGCCTAGCATGCTGTTGTTTGGTATCAAAATAAAGAGGAAGGGTTCGACTTTCATTTTAATTAGGAAAATAGGGATGTAGGTCACAAATAGTTCCAACGTTGGCCTTTTTACTACCCGTGTGGCCTTCATCTCAGAACTGAGCAAATGTTAGCAAACGCGAGTTACAATAAATGGACGCTGATATCTAGAAAGGGTTTGTAGAAAAAACCGGGTACCGGGTAGTAAATCCTCCATGCTGGGTTCAAACTTGGTACCCGGTACCCGTTAAAAAAAACGGGTACCCAAAAAACGAAAAATACGAATATATAACATAATAATTAGATTATGAGAAAACGTGTAAGATTTGTTTTGAATTTACAAAAATGTATGTAACATACTTCAAACTTCATACTTCATACTTTATTTGAAGCTAGAAGCTTCAAATAAAAAGCATATTTTAAGGCTCTTTTCTTCCTCTATCGTCATGGCCATATTTTCATTGGTTATGGGGGGGGTGCGATCGCACCATCGCACCCTCTCCTGGCTACGCCTATGACATTGTAAGACATAACAATTTACAATTCAGTGGACATTTTGTCGAAAATTGGGATAACTTAAATAATAATCAAAATCTTACACGTTGCATCATGTAAATTAACACACGTCACCTCTCTGCTTAAACAACGATAGCTATTTACAGATTTAAATCATAATCAAAACAATTCACGTACCAACATACGAACTATTGAAAATAGAGTAAGATTGATTTGTCTTGTTATTCAAATCGTCTTACAATGTCATTGGCGTAGCCAGGAGGGGGTGCGATCGCACCCCCCCCCCTTCATTACCAATGGAAATATGACCATGATGATAGAGGAAGAAAAGAGCCTTAAAATGCTTTTTATTTGAAGCTTCTAGCTCAATTGTGAAGGAAGTTACATACATTTTTGTAAATTCAAAACAAATCTTACACGTTTTCTAATGATCTAATTATGTTGTATATTCGTATATTTCGTTTTTTGGCTACCCGGTTTTTTCGACGTACCAAGTTTGAACCCAGCATGGAGGATTTACTACCCGGTACCCGTTTTTTTACAAACCCTATCTAGAAAAGTAACCTCATTCCCTATAATTTGATGTAGATTAATCGCACTGGCGGATTAGGGGGGGGGGGCCTGGGGGCCCGCCCCCCCCCCTTGGGTGGGCCCAGAAAAAAAAAATTGGGCCCTAAAAAAATTTTGGGCCAAAAGAGGCCTTAAGGCCCCAAAAAGTGGGCCTTTGTGGGCCTTTTTGGTCATTACTGGGCCTTTTAAGGCCTAATTTTTCAATTTCAGGCCCAATTTTGAAGAAAATGGGCCTCAAAATTTCAAAATTTGGGCCCACTTTTGGGTTTTAGGGGCTCAAAATTTTTTCCAGCGCAAGCTCGGACGTTTTTTTCTCTGATCTGAAATTTGGGCCCCCCCCTTGTTGATTCTCAGATCCGCCCCTGAATCGAACCCCTACATCAGGCTTTCAATTGAAAGCCCATGCCTACAGTATATGAATAGCCTAGGTACATTTTAATATATAAAATTATGGGGGTAAATGTTTCATAGTCATCACGACGCAAGAAGTGCAAGGTATTGTTCCGAATTTTTGAACTTCGTGTTAGATTACGGTACTCACACCTGAAGCATGGTATTAATAATATTCCTATGCGTATTTTGTGAAATTGTGTTGACGTTTATTTAAGTTACAATGTAACGATGCATTATATTTGATTAATCAGTATCTGAAAGTTTGATTTAAGTACTTTTACACGCTTTTATATTAGTCCCAATCACGCAAATCACTTGAACTGTCCAGCAATTAGGGTGTTTGTCCCTCGAATGGTCCCGCGAAATCCCGCGAATTTGATAAAAAAAAATTGGCCTATTAGCGCAATTACGCAAATCCCTTAAATGTCCCGCAAAATCCCGCGAATTTAGTAGATGTCCCGCAAAATCCCGCGAATTTTGGGCACTGGGTCTAAAAAATCTGTCCCGCGAGAAAATCTTTGGGGGTTGACAGTACTGTTCATGTGAAGAAATATGAATATTGATGCCAAATTACTTTCCATGACTTTCAAAAATTGCTATGTCTCTGAAATGTACATTACATTCAAAAAATAAAAATGTGGAAGGTTCTCTATTGTGATGCTTGTTAAAAGAGATGCATTTCCAGAGAATCAACTAAACTGAATTTCAAGTTTCATGTAAAAAAATGTAGATCTAATTTATTAACTCACTTTATTCTTTAAAAAGCATCCAAATATGACTGCAGAAAGTCTATACTTAAAAAAAAGATATTTCATTTATATTTTTAATTTTCATGATATTTTTAAGTAGGTCAACTTTTCAAAGGATAAGCATATTAAGAGAACGAAACTACTATCGAGATTGCCCTTTGACAGGTCATTCAGTTTTTATTTCTTATTGAAATACGAGCTATCATTTGTTTATGAAAGACAGGGATTACTTTTGGAAAAGTTACAAGCTAAATGCTGGCAAGTAAATGGCTATCGTAGATATTGCCATGATTTTTTTCTAGGTTTGACTGATATACAGGAACTAGGATAGATTTTATCACTAAAATAATTTTTTGGTGTAAAATTAGCACAGTAAGAAGAATTTTTTGGGGAATAATACTGAATAAAATAAAAAGGGTGGAAGGCTAGAGCTTGAAAAATTACAGAGTAAACAATGAAACATACCATAACAAAAACAGTGCAGTATTGGCTAATTTTGAAAATTTTTGAGTATAGAATTTCCATTTTGTTCCTCGCAGCCTACCTCTTGTGAAATCTTGGGAGGGCGATCTGTGTGATTTCTGAACTAAAAGGTAGATTACGCCATGGGTTTCTCCCCCTGATAATCTAGACTATATCCTCTAGTCTGAAGTTTTTTGAAATTTGTAATGAAAATATTCAGACCATATGTTAAAACATGGGACTTAAAATTATTTGTTTACATAGGAAGTGCCATTCAAAATGGCCGATTGGGTAAATTAATTTGCATATTTGTTACTTCCCCTAGCTTTATTTCCATTTGACAATATGCTGTGTTACTTTTTATAGCATTTAATTGTACCTTATTACTTAATTGAATTGTTAATGCTTATTTTTGGGAAGTGAAGTTTCCTAAAATTGATAATTGTGTGCAGGAAATTTCCTGTTTTTCCCACAGAAGGGACATAATGATCAATAGACTTAATTCTCAGGAAATTCAGTCTATTGGATATAGACTACCTTATAATATCAGTTATTACACGTTTCAGCATGTGATACGGGAAATATTCCACGAAAGTAAAAATTGTATAACCACGAAAGCGCAGCTTGAGTGGGGATACTTTTTTACTGAGTGGAATATTTCCCGTATCACATACGCTGAAACGTGTGATGATGATTTTATCACATACTATGTAGAAATTTAGTGATTTGATTGGTAGCTTTCTTTGTCGTCCTAACTTCTAGTTCCTCAAATGACGAATTCATCATTTCTAAGAAATAGTAACATAGCCTATATGTGACGTCATTTTGAATTAGGAAAGAATAAAATGAAGTTGTATGACGTCATTTCGTTACCAAAGACAACGTGTGGTATGTGTGCTGGTATATCATATGAAATTTATGTGATACGGGAAATACATCATAGAAAGCAACCAATCAAATCACTAGATTTATACATAGTATCATGTGATAATCAGTGATGTCCCATTATAATAATAATATCTTACATTTTGTACATATCTTAAATATATCTTGAGACCAACTTATGGGTATAGTATTGCCAATTTATTGAGAAAATCAACATAACAACCAACTGTCTGAATTGAACAAAATTGAGTTTGCATGCGGAAATCAAGGGTAAACCCTTTCAAATGACAAGAGCACATGTCACGACCCTCGTGTGGTAGCGTGGTTTGGGGGTCGTAAACAGAATACAGTCTAAGAGTCAATAGTTTGATTTGATGTTTTCATTAACTTAGTTTCGGGACAAGTTCAAGTAAAAGTTGAAATGTATATCCCTATTTAATTGAACAACGTCCGTGTTCACAGTATCAAAACAAAATGGGATCAAATTGGGATAAATTTTGCGATGAAAATTTAGGGATAAATTAGGGATAAATTTAGGGATAAAATTTAGGGATAAATTCTGGGATAAATATAGGGATAAAAATTTAGGGATAAATTCTGGGATAAATATTATTAGGATGAAGTGGGACAATTTCGGGATAACAATTACGGGATAACAAAATCTGAATATAGACTAAGTAAGATTTGTCAGTTTTTAATGTAAGTTGTATGTCTCATAAAGGCGAATGGCAACAGACTCCAGATTCTGAATGTGCCCAGTGTTCAGTTGTATCAAATAAGTATAATGTTAGGGTGTGAGTATAACCAGGTGGAAGTCTTAGCCACTGGGGGCTA